GTCTATCGATGAAACTCTAGCGTTTGACCATTCAAATGAAAGCCACCGAGAAGTTTTTTCATGCGTTTCAGTTCATTATATCCTTCAAGGTGGTTTTAACCACAAACCTTTGAGTTAAGCGGGCCGTAGAGTGATAGACAGAAATAAATTGACCAATCATAGCCCACTTACTAACCGAGAGATATAATAATTTTAGTTATCTAAAGCGGGGCATAACGGTTTATGTTTATGTTTCTGAACGAAACAGTTACGCCTTTCAATTTTTTGTAACAAATACTTTATAAAAATTGCTTCACGAATTTGTGCGAAAAAGATTTGTTTAAATCGAACCGAGCCAATACCACTATAAGCTTTTGTGTTCCCCATGAACTGTCCGTTTAAATTGGAGTTGTGACAATCGTTAAACCGCCATCTCCCAGTCAGGTCATTTGAGCAGCTTTTCGGTGAACTGGAAGGCGGCCAACTTGCAATAGAGCGACATCTCTGAAAATCACAACATCAACTGAACGGTATGGTGTGATCGTGATATAACAACGGCGCACCTAGGAGGTTTGATAAAAACAGAAAGAGTTAAGGCTTGCACTTTTAAAGAAGTCATCACTATGCTTGAGTAGCAAGCTTTCCGACTTTTTCCCCGGGGGGAGGGGGGGCAAGACAAGTCTCTTTGCAACTACAATGACTTGAAATAAAATGACGAGGCTTCTTTGGAAAAAAAGAAAAAACGTGACGAAAAGTTTTTCCTCTCTTTCCTTATCTCAGGTTTTTTCAGTATGTTATTAAAGTAAACAGCTGTTGTCTTTTCTTTCTAATCTCTCGAGCGTTTCTTATAACGATGTCCTTTTCGTTAATTTGAATACCAAACATGAAGATTTGACGAATACTAAAAGTGATATGACTGCATGCAATTATTCAAATCAACGCAAATGGCATTGTCAGTAACTCTAGAATGAAAACAAAATACAACAGCTGTCAACTTCGAATTCATACGTCGAGCGTGACACAAAACCGGTACGACTAAGGGTAATATTTCGCAGTCTCTTCACTTCACTCGAAGACATTCTATCCTGTAACTTTCTAGATAATAAGATCTACCTTCGAGTTAGTGTCCACGAAGTGTAATATTAAAGAGTACTCTTGATTCCCCAAGCCGCACCACGTCATTGATAGCAGGAACTGTTTTCAAATTAAGTACAAAAGTTAAGAGTATATTACAAGTTAATCTAAAGAAAAGCGGATTTAACTCATTCAATTCAACTGATTTCAGAGCTCTTTTTGTTAACAGTGTAATAGCACAGCTGATAAATCGCTGATAAACATAGAGGCATCATAACTTTAAAATGGCTGCATTTGATTGGCTGAGGTACTCTTTGGGTGTTTTTTTTTTCAATATATAATTTTCAATACCTTTGTGAATCATTTTATATGGAAAAAGATACTTCGTTCTGTTTTTCGTCAAAAGATATTCCGCATACCTCAGAGGAGCTTCTTTTCCAGTTTCAGGCAGTTTAACACGACATTAATATTGTGGGTCGACATTAATCTCCGAGTTTGAAAATCTCATTTTTTATCGTAAACTGTGTTTTCAACAGTTTCATCCGCTACACAGCAACCATGTTAAACTTTGCCACAATCTATGTGCAAAAACGTCTGCGTAGCCGAAACCTTTCAAGTGATCCACTTCAGTTCATGAAAACCCGCACTTAGCTCAGATACGACATTTTATCAAACAATAATTCTGAATCAAGCGCTTAAACGATGTAAATTAAATGAGGGTTGGTCTAAAAATTGTGCGCATAAGAATACTCCATCTGAATCTTGTGCCACTATACTAGACCAAAAGTGTTATATGGTGCTATGCATTATGCAACCATCTATATGTGCAATCATATGAATGCAGACGACTAGGTGACCGATTCCGAGAACACCTTCGCAACGTAGAAAGCGATGACAGGGACGCATCCAAACCAGTCGCTAAACACTCTAATCTCCCTAAGTATTCTATAGAACATGTGGCAGTTTCCGGCCTTTCCCTACATTTAGGCAGCTCGGAAAGGCACAAAACACTAGAACAAAAATTTATCTTCCAAATCGGCACTCTTAATCCCCTTGCTATCAACGAGTGCTTTTCATTCAACTAATTTATTTTTGTTTTCTCGTCACCATATTCCCATCAATAGCAGGGTTCTCCCTAGTTTTCAGCACAACAGGTAAGGGACCTTTTCAAACCAGTAAAGCACATTTGCAGCTTCATGCGGCTGATCATTCTCAACTTTGTCATTTCCTAAAGCATACAGTACATCGCGCCTATCAAAAATTCTCCATCGAAAAATTCATAAAGTGAACGATACACCTTTATATTCAGAGGTTGAACAAAACAAAGTAAAATTTTGTTTAAAAGCATTATATTTGACTACGCCCTTTCCAAACTGCTTATAACGTAATGTTTGAATTCTGTCAATGTCCTTTTCCACTTGAGTGACAGGTCTAAGGAATTCCAAAGTTTGACATTCCTAAATCAAACTGTTCTATATAATTCCAAAATACCAAAATAATTCCCATCGAGGACTACATGGCTTACTTTAACTGCTTCTCTAATTTATGGGCATAAATATTTTCCAACTAGAAACAACAAATTCCATGTCACATACATCAAACGTCACAGCTATGGAAACTTCATAGTCAACTCTGCGTCGCTGTTTCCTAGTTTAGATTACATGGACAATTTTTAACCTCTCTCTCTTGGTTCCCCAAAACGAACAGATAAGTGTTTGTTAAAACCGACTAAAATTGACCAAACTCATTTGATAACCAGCCTTTTGACCTGTTGTCGGCCTGTTCTCTGAGAAATTTCAATTTTTGTTTCAACATTTGAAAGAGTCATATTATAAAAGTCAAGCGGGTGGAAAACAATTGTAGGCCGGGCCTACGGGATTAGAGGCTGGCTACACCTTTAAAAGTAGGTCTTATTTCTCTAACATATGGTCAGTAGATTCAATAACATCATGTCTCATGTTTACTTCTTCAAATTTAGCTTAGAATGGCAATCTTGGCACTGATAGAATTAGATTACATCAAAATAGATTGAAAAAAATCAATTTTTCTTGTGAAGATAATCTCAATTTGTAACAAAGTAATTTATGATGTAGAAAAATCGTCAAGTTTCATCAACATCTGGCTGCAAATCTTGCAAATCAAATTTTTGGAAATAAAAAAATTCGCCAACTTTAGCAAATGACGAATTGTTTCTTCGCTTATAAAAAGCTTAGAGCATAAAGATAATTAAAACCCAGTGGACAAGCTTCTGGTTATGTAAAAGAAGAAAAAACCTTTAAACCGTTGTCCATAAACTGATTGTAATGCAGGAATAGAGCTGAGTGTCATTTTGACTTGTCATCAATCGCCCACAAGGACACCACAACAGACCGAGCACCAGCCCCCATAAAAGCGCGCGCAATGCCAACCACACCTTCAGCCTTAATCTCGCCTCGACCGCTGTGGCAGCAACTAAGTACAACTAGTTTAGCGCGAAGTTGAACATTTGACACATCTCGAATCGTTAAAATGTAATCCTCCTTCCTGGTAGGTACAGTAGATGTTCGGTCTGGGTCTGGGTCAGGTGTAAGAGCAATTTCGCCAGTTTCCATACATCCGTGTGCCGCAAAGTGAACTAAGGAAACGGAACTGAGTCTTTTCAACACCTCACGTTTCGTGGCTTGTTTGCCAGTGATTGGCGTGATATTCAGAATTTTTCCGATCATTTCTACTTCTTCTTCAGCACACGGAAGCTGCTCGAGGAGTTTCTCTCCCTTGCTGTCGGTAACCTCGGCTACCCACGGATTTCCTACAAGTAACGCACCACTGCTTTTATGATAATCATCTGGGCAATCGGCAATGAGTCTCAGACTCGTTAATGATGGAGCGATTCGGATTCTGAAAGATTCACACAGGTATTTAGAATTACCATCCTTCAATGCTGCGTAAGGAGCAAGCCACAGGGGTCCATCGGGAATAATGACTAGCTCATCCCCTTGAAGCAGGTCAGCCACCGGCTTCATGACGATATCATACAAAGTGCTCAAGCATTTGTTTTGTTGGATGGCAGGTTGAAGGGTGTCTTCTTTAGGTTTCTCATCCACTTTTGAAGGGCTCTCCCTCAAAGCATCCAAAGACCGATTCTCGCATCTCACAATAGAACGAACACCAAGTTGTGTATAGACACCGAGCATGAACGACTCAAAGGACTGGCTAGCTCCACTATGCTCTGAAACAAAACCTTTGAATTTACTTTGTCTTAACTGAACTTGTTTTCCTTCGGACACAAGCCAAAGATTGACATCAGCTTTGTCCACTGCCTGAAAGACGGTGTTTGATGGAACGTTTTTTAAAACTTTTAAAAAACGTTTCATCCAAATCGATGAAGACTTAGCAGTGAATGCTAAATCTTCATCGCCTGTCTTGTCCTGACTTGTTCCACCACAAAAACTAGATTCCATAAGGTCAGACAGAACTTGAGCTCGTCCTTTCTCAGCAACAAATAAGGCTTCATCTATATTACCTTGTTCTAGGAGAACTCTCCACAAACCCGTATACGCCCTTTGATACTGAGTTCGAAAATTAACTTTCCACTCATCTTTAGATTTTAGAAGTACTCTCAAGGAATTGAATAAGTTTATGCTAGCTTGGTAATGTTCAACGGCTTTTGGCAGTCCACCCTGCAACTCAGAAACGCTTCCTAATAAATAGTAGGTCATTGCCTCCAAGTATTTGTCTTCGATCCCTTGAGCAATTTTAAGCCCTAGGTTGTATGACTCGTTAGCCTTTATCAAATATCCCTTACTTTCATACATAACACCAAGATTGACATAAGCACTACCCTCCCCATGCTTGTCTCCTACTTCTTCAGCTATTTTAAGATCTAGGTTGTGGTACTCTATGGCTTTTTTGAAATCACCCAGACTAAAATAATCATTGCCAAGATTGCCATAAGCAACACCCTCCCCATGCTTGTCTCCTACTTCTTTAGCTATTTTAAGATGTAGGTTGTGGTACTCTTTGGCTTTATTGAAATCACCCAGACTGTCATAAGCATTGCCAAGATTGCCATAAGCACTACCTTCCCTATGCTTGTCTCCTACTTCTTTAGCTATTTTAATATGTAGCTTGTGGTACTCTATGGCTTTTTTGAAATCACCCAGACTGCTATAAGCATTGCCAAGATTGCCATAAGCACCACCCTCCCCATGCTTGTCTCCTACTTCTTTAGCTATTTTAAGATGTAGGTTGTGGTACTCTATGGCTTTTTTGAAATCACCCAGACTGCTATAAGCATTGCCAAGATTGCCATAAGCACCACCCTCCCCATGCTTGTCTCCTACTTCTTTAGCTATTTTAAGATGTAGGTTGTGGTACTCTATGCCTTTTTTGAAATCACCCAGACTGTCATAAGCATTGCCAAGATTGCCATAAGCACCACCCTCCCCATGCTTGTCTCCTACTTCTTTAGCTATTTTAAGATCTAGGTTGTGGTACTCTATGGCTTTTTTGAAATTACCCAGACGGTAAAAAGCATTTCCAAGATTGCCATAAGCACGACCCTCCCCATGCTTGTCTCCTACTTCTTTAGCTATTTTAAGATCTAGGTTGTGGTACTCTATGGCTTTTTTGAAATCACCCAGACTAAAATAAGCATTGCCAAGATTTCCATAAGCACTACCCTCCCCATGCTTGTCTCCTACTTCTTTAGCTATTTTAAGATGTAGGTTGTGGTACTCTATGGCTTCTTCTCCCCGATTATAGAGGTCTATGACTTTCTTGACATCACCTGAACTTGCACTACCATGGTTATGACTAATAGGATCTTTTTCCTCCATGGACTTTTCTCCCACTTTTCTGACAGACTGAAGTCTTAATGACAACAAGATCCTATTGTTTTTGTCAATCTTTTTTATGTTAAGGGTTAAAAAGGTGGACAAAACGAAAATATTATTTTTCTCATCATATTGGTATGTAATAGTCCATTTTTACAGCTGCGTGCTTGGTTGTAAGGCCTCTGAACAAGTGTGATGGCTAAGGGTGACCTTGTTATGATAAAAGCATTGTTGCTTTTCAAATGCAAATTATTTTGATATTATTGTCACTAGATACTGGTCTCTATCACAACAAGGTCACCTTCAGCCTCACTCCAAATCAAAGGCTTGGCAACTAGGTACACAACTATAAAATGGTCTATTAGGAGGGCTTGTGTGAGAGGTAGATGTTTTATAAACATTCAGTCGGTTATGAAGTAAATCTACACTGAAAACTTTTCTTTTCCAAGTGCAGCCTCAAAATTTAACGCGAAATACCTAGATTTAATCCCTTGTTTCCAAAAACTGGGGAGCAGTGCTGCTCAATTTTTAAATTAATATAGCTTTAACATCAGACGAATATTTTACAGCAGTGGATGAAACAAGTCTACAACACAAATACGTGCCTTTAAAAGTTGTATTTGTCCATAGGAAAACATGACGAAAGTTTGCAGGTCTCTAAGTAGTTGAAAAGGTTAAATTCAAGAAAATCTGCATAGGATATGTAAACATTACCAAACTTTTTGTTCTGGCTTGTTTTAGAGAGATCTGATCTACCCACGTACTATGTATAAATTGGGTGAATATTTGACTTTTAACCCTTTAACTCCCGTGAGTGACCAAGAGAGAATTTATCCTTACGAGAGCATTACAATATCATCAGATAAGTGTTAAGAGTACAGAAAAATATTAATTTGGGAATAATTAGTTGATCCAATACTGAATTCTCTGAACTAACATTACAAGAACTATACAGTTGACAGTAAGGATAACAAATTTGGTATGTGAATTAAAGGGTTATCTAAACTAATGTACCAGTTATTGGCATGGATAGGAGAACTAAGTCAAATTGGCTAAAAGGAGTAATATCATTGATAAGTCACAAGGTAATAACTTTTCCCATGTTTTTTAATCACACACTCTTAAAGTATGAGCTGACAAGTTCCCATCATAATTAATACCCTTCTTTGTATTTTCTCCCTTAAAACATTAAATTATGGAAACTTTTTCCATTATATACCCATGGTTAAAAATGAAAGATTCCTTCAAAGGATACAGCTAGTCCCTTATCACACCAAGTGATTGCTTCTTCAAATCTCTTCAATTCAACACAAGCAGTGGTTCCTATAGGCAACAATGCAAAGAAGCATATTATTACTGTAGCTCAATTCTGAAAAAAGAACCTGAAACCATTAAAATCATTACAGACCAGAAGAAAAAAAAACGACAGAACAAAACAAAGCAAAAATACTAAATGGAAAAGAATAAACAGGCCCTATCAGGTTTCAGTTAGATTTATTTAGCTTTTAAGACAACTGAAACTTCTAAGAACATTTAAATTGGGACCGACAATTCCTTACCTAAAGAGTTAGGTAACTCCTGATCCTTACTTCTTTTTAAAACAGCTAGATAGTGACTTAACATATCTGACGCCTGTGACTACCTCACTCAGTGAGCTTAAAGAACTAAAATACTTGTGCTGAAATTTTGCTTTGCATTCTGCATTGAGTTCTTCATCCAGCTCAAAATAATATTCTCATCATAATTAATGAAAAGTAGTTGCGTAGCAGTCAAGAGCTGGATTCAAATGTACATAAGGGTGGTCTTGACCTCTTAATTAAAGTCAATTGAGACAAGATTGAGCTTCATCTAATCTCAACTCTAACCTTAGAGTGTTGAGTTATTCTTTTATTATTATTATTATTATAGCACAGCTAACATATCTAACCTCTAACAATTGCCTTAAGGAAAGTTGGATTTAACTCAATGGCTGCTTCTGCATCCCTTAGTGAATCCTGGTGATTTCCTGTTATCAAAATAAATATCTCTGATTAGCCATACATGTAGCAAACCAACCACCACTCCATTACAATAATTTTGGGAAAAACTTGCGATGCTCACTGATATCTGGGGTAAGAGGTTACTTCTTTGTATATTTGCGAGGCCTATTAAGATAAGATGTATATTTTTCTGGGCATGCATTAAAAATTATCACCTATCTCAGAAAACTACTGATGACAACTCAATAGCTTCAAAAGAAAAAAAATGTATATTAAAGCTCTCATCATCTTACCAAGTTTAAAATGTGCAATAGCCCTGTTGTTGTGCAGTTTGGCCTTCAGTTCTTTCTCATTGCAGTTCATTTTAATTCCTCTGGTGTAAAAATGAATAGCATTGATGAAATCTCCTTTCTTGAAGGCCTCATTACCCTCATTCCTATAAACATCAGCTATGGCTGCAAAGAAAAAATAAAAAATAATTTGTGTCAAAGTCTGTGGTTGTAGTCAATAATTATCTGTGGTTGTAGTTAATTAGTGTATGAGCAGAGCTGCCAAGATCTGGAGATTTAAAATCTGAAGATTTTTCCTTTTGTGCCAGCTGCCACTTTTGCACCTGCCTGACTTGACCCATCCCCTGAAAAGCTTAGAGGATGTGTGCAGACCCCCCCCCCCACCCCCTTCACAGGACACACCCCATTCAGTAAATTCATGAGAGATTTTTTGGTTGAAAACTCAACCAATCAGACTCAGTTGCTGTTGTGGTTGTTGTTTGGAAGAAAGCACTATGAACTGTAGTTTTATGAAAATTCCATGAATTTCATGTGAAAAACCCATGAAGATCATTTCATGGCCCATGAATACTGCAAAATGAAATTTCATGGGGTTATTTTTAGCCCTGAATTTTCCATGAATTAGGGGAATTTTTTTCATGACCCATGAATTTCTTCAAAGTCTATTTTTATGACCCATTGATTTGCCATGAAAGTCACCAGAATTAATTTCATGACCCATGAATTTCTTTATATGCCTACTTTCATGACCCATGAATTTCTTCAAAGTCTACTTTCATGACCCATTAGTTTCCCCAGAAAGTCATCAGAATGAATTTCATGCCCATGAATTGCAATCAAACAGCATTTCATGGGCTAACAATTTATTTGTTTTGGGAGAACAAAATTAATGGGCCATGAATATTCCCTGAAATCTGTTGCCCATGAATTTCATTGATGAATTCATAGGCCATTAAAAGTGGTAATAATGAGTTCATCACAGTCACTGATTTATCAACGAGCTGACTTTCATGATCCGTGGAACTGACTTGTTATAAATTTATGCACTGATGGAATTTTGGTGTACAGCGCGAAAACTGTCGAATGAAAATGTCCCTAAAAAGAACATCTTAAGTGGCCTTTGTTAACGTAAAATGTACAGGAAATCACAAAACAATGACTAAAAACAATGGATCTTCAATTTGCTCCTTTGTTGAGACAAATGGGGCTGGAGGCAATGACCCAGATGTTTGATCCTCACTTTTATTTTTTGGGGCCTTTTTGCCTTCGCCATGCCTGGACGACTTTGTTGAATTTTTTCTGCCCCACTGCTGGCTTTGATTGTTAGCCATGACTCTGGAAACCTGTTCAAGGCCTTCTCTTACATTCTTACGGCTGAGGAATCTTCTAGGGCTTTTCCAGTAAGGCACCTGCAGAGTACAGATGCTTAAGTTGCACAGCAATAGTACGCATTGCATCTACACGAAATGTGGAACAAAACAATGAAAAATCAATCACTTTGTCACCTCAATTTGAAACTTTGAATAGTGTGCAAATGTAACCTGAAAAAAATGCTATTTTTACCTCGTTCATAGAGTCGCCGGTTAACAGAGTCAGGCCATCTTCTCAGTCGGGATGAAACGTTACCTTCATGTATTCATTGAGATCGCCTTCTACAACATCGTTGTTGATTTTGTGATCGCTTTCACAGGAATCACTGTCGATGTCAGCTCTGACTTTCTTGGACTCTGATGTCCTGTCGATTGTTACTTGCTTCGAATTCCAAATACCGAACAGCTTTTTGTGCTGCTTTATTTTGTAAGATTACAGACGCAGCAACGAGACCTCTTCGGAGTCATTTCGTAACGTCGAACACGATAACCTGTGAGGTCACTATGTGACCGCTGACCTATGATGGCTGCGATGACCTAAGGCATGTTGTTGGCGTCCTTCTGTCTCGGGAGACAATGGAGTTGCGCCCATGGTCAGTCTGTGGTGGAGCTGCAGCGCCGGCTGTGGCTGTAGAGACCGATCCTCGAGCAGCAGATCCTGCTGCAGTTGCTGCATGCGAAGACGTTGTCGTCCGAGGGGGATGGGTTGGCCTCTGCTCTCTGGCGCCTGCGAGCTCTCTTGTCTTCCCACTGCTCCTCTCTTTTCTGCTCTGCTGTCTTGATGGCTGACATGGTGGTGGATCGCCAGCCGCTGCGGTCCGCTGCCAGTGCTTCGAAGCCTGCTGGCGCAATGCCACCCGCCTTCAGGTCCCGCTTGAGCACATCCTTGTAGCGGAGCGAAGGTCGTCCAGTGGGTCTGGACCCAGTGGCAAGCTCACCGTACA